TGTTGTTTAGGTAAATGCCATCTTAGTTTTAATCTGATCTATTATTTTCCCTCCTGATTAAGTGTGAAATAAAATTTTAGAACCAAATATCAGTATATAATTTCTCTGTTTTCCCCCATGTTTCTGATGCATATCATGGAGTTTCAGAAGCCATGTTACATCACAAAAATCTTTCATTCCACTTTGTAACTGATTGCTAAAGATCTGAGAATTGTTAAGTTAGCTATAACAGAGGCATTCTTTATCTTAGATTTGCTTGGATCAAATCCCAAGACACTAAATCAGGATATGATCCTGCATGGTACCATCTCTAAAAGGAGCGTGTGCTTCTCTCTCTCTCTCTCTCTCTCTCTCTCTCTCTCTATATATATATATATATATATATATATATATATATATATAATCACACATATGTACATATATATGTGTGTGTGTGTGTGTGTGTGTGTGTATGTGTGTGTAAGGTTTGGTTTCATAGTTAAGTCTTATAAGAAATCTGGTGCAGAGTCATCTGCACACCAGTTTTAATTATTTATAATAAATTTAATTAATAATTGAAAATCAAAATGGGATATCTTACATGTTTGTGATATGTTGTGTCTTACTACCTTGATTTCTTTGTACCTGGGTCTCATATTTAATATAAAATATATGATGTTTCTGCTTTACTTTCATAATTTCTATGCATCTAATACATATACACAAGTAATTTTATAGTAGCAAATATTTTATAATTTATGAATAATTTATAGAACCAAAAGTAGAGATTGAGAGTTGCTATTTTTACTAAACATAAATATATTAGTATATCTTTATAGTTAATTTTGTTTCACATAACTGACTAATCTCATCCCACATAGAAAATTCTGAAGCAAAGTTTTTGACTTATTATGATAGAGAAGGAAACAAGACATTAGAGGAATTTTGAATCAGGAATATTTTCTGAAAGTGCTAAAAATAGACAAACATCACAGACACTAAAATTTATACAAAATGTTTTTTATTGAAAATAGATTTTTCTCCCAGACAAACATCCTTCCACATCCAGACCACAGTTTTCCCTTCATCCACCTCTTCTAACTCCCTGCCCTCTGACTCCCCTCCTCCCCTGGAACCACTCTCCCTCTGTTTTCTCTTCAAGAAAGAGCAGGCCTCCCTCCAAGAGATGACATCCATACAGCATAAATACAGTAAGACCAAGCAAAGCCCTAGTACTAAGGCCTGTCAAGGCAACCCAACAGGAGGAAAAGAATTCCAGGAGCAAGCTAGAGCGTCGTAGACAAACCACTCCCACTGTTGGGAGTAGCACAGAAACACCAAGCTTACTGCCAGAGGACCAGGTGCAGACCGTGCAGGCCCCATACTTCACTTTGGTCTCTCTGAGCCTTTGTGTTCTCTGCTCAGTTGATTCAGTGGTTCGTGTTCTGCTGTCCTCCCACCCCTACCCCTCTGACTCCTATAGACTCTCTTTTTTCTCTTCTACCCAGTTTCCTGATATCTGAGGGGAGGGACTCTATGGTGATGATGAAGACCTCCGCGTTAGACTCTTTCTCCGGCTGTGCGTCTCTGCACCTGCTCTCATCTGATGCAGGAGGACGCCTCTCCGGTGATGACTGAATAAGGCATTGATCTATGAGTATAACAGCATATCATTAGGATTCATTTAATTGATTTCTTCTTTCTTTTTCTTTCTTTTTTTTTCCAATCATGAGTCATGTCCCCCCCCCCCTTTTTTTCAACACTAGGACGCTGGGCTCTCTAGTCTCCCATCCCAGCCAGCATAGGACTTGTGGCTCCCTCTCTTGGTGAGAGCCTCAAGTTAAAACAAACATTGGTTGGCCACTCCCACAAGTTTTGTGTCACCATTGCCCCAGCACATTTGGCAGGCAGGAGAGATTGTAGGTGAATAGTTTTGTGGCTGGGTTTTTGTCCAGGTTTTTCTTTTCATATCCTAAGGAGTACCTTCTTGTGCCATAGAGAGAGTAGAAGGCAGAGGTTTAGGCTCCATATTGGCACCAGTTAGAACGCTCTACATTCAACAAGCTGAGGTGGATGGAGTCCTCTGCAAACGGGTCTGCTGTCAGTTTTCAGAGTATGACTTTCAGTCCTGGCATCAGGTTGGGCTGTTTAGGGATCTCCATGGGACCCTCTGGGCAAACAACCCAACTGAATGCAATCAGGTCCTACAACTGGAAGCCTTCCCTGGCTATAAAAGATGGCCAGTCTAAACTTCATGCCTTCCTTTACTCTAAGTCCCCACTAAGGTCACCCTAGTGATTCCAGGAAGTTCCCACTGCCCTGGGTTTCCACATGTACCCCCAATGCTCCACATGTACCCGCAATGCTCCACAAGTCCAGCTGTCCCTCCAAACTATTTCACCCTCTCTCTCTCCGACACGCCTGATCCTTCCCACTCAATTCTTTCCCCACCCCAGAGTCCATCAGCGGTGTTTATTCTATTTTCCCTTCCCAGGGAGGTTCAAGCACCCCCATCCCCACCCCAGAACCTTCCTCTTTATCTAACCTTTCTGGGTCTGTGAATTATATAGCTTCATTATCAATTATCTAACATCTAATACCCACTTATAGAGACTACATACTATATTTGTCTTTCTGTGTCTGAAGTATCATCTAAAGTATGGATATTACTTGCCCAGCAATTATGACATATTTATCATTAGAAACTAAGTTAACTTCAATGAGATATAAAACTTAATTTAAATAAATACTTCATTGTTCAGCATATATTCAAAATCTGAACTCTCCCCAAATCTGTCAATTGCCTTTTATTGACCAGTTCTTAATGCTTAAGATCAAATAGCAAAGAAAAATGTAATAACATTCCCAGAACTTATTCAGATATCCAGTGAAAATCATCCTTTCTGTCAACATTGCTACTTTCTTTCCTTTGTGCCATTTTATTTAACTGAAGGCCATTGTTTCTTTTTGTTGTTTTTCTTTTTTTTGTTTGCTTGCTTTTTCTTTTTTTAAGACAGGGTTTCTCTGTAGCTTTGTGGTCTGTCCTGGAACTAATTCTTGTAGATCAGGCTGACTTCGAACTCACAGAGATCCCCCTGCCTCTACCTCCTGAGTGCTGGGATTAAAAGCGTCCACCACCACCGACTGGCCTGAAGGCTGTTTTGTAAGCTGTGCAATAATTGTCAAAAAATGATTTTGAAGGAAGTGCGTATTTGTCATCTAATTTAGAGATGTTTTATTTTGTAAAAAAAAATGCCCTTTTCTTAATGACTTCTGATGAACTGCTGTTTGCAAGTTTAATATTCTCTTACCTAGTATTTACTTAGTTAAATAATAAAGGTTCCTATCAGTCTTCGTGAATCACATGATCTCAGGTCTTATTGCTGTCTCGACAGCTCAAATGGCAGTAAATGAGTACCTCACTCCCCCCATCCTGCGAGCTAGGTAGCGGGAGGCAGAAATTGTCATGGGAGTTCTGGTTCTGGGGTGTATCCTTTATTATGTGATGCTTGATACATTCATAGAATCAGGCCTGAGCAGCTTTATTTGTGAGGTTAAAGAGATGAGGATACAGGGTGCCACTCACAGCCACCTCGCTTACCTTTTCAATTGAGGCTGCAGTGTGTCCTAGCTATTTTGGTCCATGCTGATGCAGTAAGCTGTTCCCCCAGTTGTATATCACGTATTCAGAATGATGGTTCCTAGAAACGCCATCATCTGTCTTGGTCCTTAGTGGGAGTCATTGCTCACATTCCTCATTATTTTTGTTAGGATTGGTCCTTGTGACTCTATTCATTTCAAATGTCATTAAGAGTGGCAAATTAAATGTTTATCTTAAGTGATAGTTTGTCATTTATCAATGTAAGAGATTGGTATCAGCTCAAAATCCTGAGAACAAGGTCTCAGCACAAAGGAGATTTATTTGCCCCACAGAGACAAAGGGTGGGGAATAAGAGACAAACACGGAAGATAGAAGATGAGGAAGGAGGGGAAGGGAACAAGGGAAAAGGTATTTGTCCCAGAGGGGGACAAAGGATAAGGAGGAGACAGTGGGCATTTCCCAAAGGCAAATGACGGTTTATAAAGGTAAAAAGAGAAACTCCGCATTAGGATGAGGTGTTTAATTTTAATTGGGAATGTTAATTAGGTGAGCCTAAGGGGGTTTTCAATTTCTGGACTTAAATACTTAGATAGTCCAACCTTGGTTGTCAGCCCCAAGAGGAAGAAGTGGCTAAATAAGGAAATAGATCTTGGTATCTAACTTCAGGAGTGTAATCTAACTGTTTAAAACAGGCAGAGGGAATATGGGACAAGGGCCAGGCCTGCTAGAGCCATGCTGCCATGCTTGGACTGGCCAGAGTCCCTTCAATCAATATGTTACTCAATGTTCTTTAAGCAACACTGTTGTCACATTTTAATAAACCCAGTCTCAGATGCGTTGCCGTAGCAAATACATACAGAAATACCATGTATACCATAAGGCAAGCTTGAGGTTAACACATTGTTGAGAAACTAAATGAAACACACATGTTATAATATTCTTTTGTTCTGTACTTTTTTCCACATTAATAGCTTTCATGAATGACTTTAATAATAGATTTATTTCAGAAGACAGATATCTATAAAATCCTTTGAGATGCTGAGACTGGTGCTTGGAAGTATTGATTTTAGAACTCTTTACAATAATTTCTGATCAATTATCTGCCTCACCTAGAGCATTTATGCTAACAGATATTTTAATAAAACATCAGAATCAATTATACAAAATATGACAGGCATATGGTGAAACGAAACTCGGAACCATTAAACTAAAGTGAGAAGAAAATTTTGCCCTAAATGATCAGAGGCACTCTTCAAGCCCTGGCATTGATATACTTGACGGTGTATTGTATAAAAAATTATAAGAAATGTTCAAGGGTACATAGAAAGATGAAAACACTCTTAATATGAATTTTAGTAAAGTATTTGTAAATAATGTGGGAAGTTTTTTTTATATATTGCTCTTTCTCTCCTTCAAATAGGTTATGTGGGTATGCAATTTATGTCGAAAGCAACAAGAGATCTTAACCAAATCTGGAGCATGGTTCTTTGGAAGTGGCCCTCAGCAGCCCAGTCAGGACGGGACTCTGAGTGACACGGCCACAGGTGCTGGATCCGAGGTGCCCAGAGAAAAGAAAGCGCGACTCCAAGAGCGATCAAGGTCTCAGACGCCTTTGAGTACGGCAGCTGCCTCTTCCCAGGACACTGCCTCCCCTGGTGCACAAGTGGACAGGAGTAAAGGGGTGGAGCCCTCACAGCCAGTCGTGGGGCCTGACCAGAAGCAGACATCAAGGTCTAGAAGTGAGCCACCAAGGGAAAGGTAATAATTCACTAACACTGTAAGCAAAAGTTGAGGGCTGCTAGAAAGCGCACATGTTACCGAGACCCCAACTATTAGACCCCTTCTATTAGAAGGCTTATGTGGAAGGATTACTTCTTAGGCCCCATAGACAAAGCAGCAAGAGGCCTGAGATTTCGGTCTACATCTAGAATATGTCATACCATAAGAGACCTGTTTTGAGAAGCTTGTCTTGCACAGATGACAGTGAAAGATATGTCAATCATTTGAGTTACAAACTTCCAACGTTGAGCAGAGAAAAGCCCTTAAAACATTGTTTATTATAGGTTCAGCAGGTTAGGAACAAGTGGACTCTTGAAGCTTATGAGGAATGACCCAACCTATTGAAAGACATGGTGGGACATCAGAGATTGATTCTCTGAGTATCCTTTAAGCTGCACTATAAAAGTAGTGAGGAATTTATGAAGTGAAGCTAAGGATGATGTAGTTGGTATCTGCATAGGTGTGTGGCCTAAAGGAAAGGTTTCTGTTGGAGGTCTTTCTAAAGGCTACCACTGGATAGAGTACAGGTGGCTAAGGAAGATAGAAGAGAGAAAGCTGGCAAGGTTGTAAGCAAAGGGGTCAACTTTCATATATTTTTATCCAGGCACAATGGGAAGCCATCAAAGATATAAATAAGCAAGGGATCGTATGATCAGATAACATACATCAAATGTTTAACTATCTATCCATTTATCTGAGTTGATGCTGTCCACTAGAAAACACAGATGTCAAAATAGTGCTCCTGTTGTGTGAGCCCAGACTGGTTGGACCTGACTAGGCTTGATTGCTACTGTTCCTGTAACTCTTATTTATGACACTAGGTAAGGAGTAGTCTCCACCCATGGAAGTGTTTCAAACCTCATTTTCAAACCAAATTTACAAAAGATCAATGACTTCAAAGTAGAGTGTGTCTGGATCACAGTCCTGATTCTGCCATAATAGGCAGTGATAGCATACTTTGCAGGAGTGTGCCAAGTATTAACGGCCAACACAAGGTCCCAGGACGCCATGTGGTGCCTACCTAACTGAATATGGCTGTGATTTCAGCCAGCACTCATGAAACAATCACTATAATTAAATTCAGTGCTAGAAACAAGAGGGAGCAGAGATGATGAGGACATATTCCATTTCTCACAATATGGGCAAATAATATCCCAGGGAAGACAGACACCTAGGCAATTAGTCAAGATGTTAATTGATTGGTCAATGCTAGAATATATGTATAGTACTTTAGAAGCTCTAGAAACAAAAGAAAGGCTTTGAGTTGAGCCTTTTAAGATTCCAGGAAATAGACGATATTAGGGGAGAGAATGTGTATGCAGATCTTTTTTGAAAGAAGATAGGAAGGGCATCAGAAGTACTGTAGTGACAACAGAACAAAGCTCACTTGGTGGTAAAATGTAATGAATTAAGAAACAAAAACATTAAAGATGAATTTTGGGAATGGTCAGCAGATGGTGCCTTTATGCCTTTAAATATGACGAAGATGGTAGAGCTGTCGTTAGTGAAGAAAAAAATAATGAAGTTTGTTTTATGGTGAAAACCTAAGCAAAATCCCAAGGAGTGCAGAGACATGAACACTGAGAAGATAAAGTGAGAATACTGGGAAATGCAGCATGAACACCGAGAAAAAGCAGTGGTCTATAAATAGCTAATGAAGACTTGTGTGCTTAATCAGAAGATGGCCAGGCGACAGTTAGGACTCAGGTGACAGTGTGGCTTTTGGCGGCCATGGAAAATAGATTGAAAGGATGACTAGTTCCTTGATCAAAGGGATAACTAGTTCCTTGATCGAAAGGATGACTAGTT